AAAAAAAAAACAAAAAAAGGTGTGGGTGGCGGGCTACGAAAAGAAAAAAAAGAAAAAAAAAATAGGAGTGGGAGTTTGTGTGTGGAAGAGGGAAAGGTGTGGGGGGGGGGCGGGGGGGGGGGGGTGAACTCAACAAAGTTTTATACGGGAAGGTTCCCCCCCCCCGTAGGTCTAACCCCTTTACAATTTTTACGCCATTGTTGTCAGAAAAGGTACCCCTTCCGTATACCTTACACTGACGAATAAAACCCGTTTCACATATCTAGTTTAGAACTTTGCATTCCTTTAACTGAAATCCCTACCTTTTCATATACCTGAAGCCCGAAAAAGGTGATCTATCTGACTTTGTCAGGCTTGCAAATAAACGTTTGCTTTTCTCTGAAATTAAATATTTGATTTTTTTTTTTCACTTCAGGTCAAGACTGTTTATCACTGATCAAATCAGGCTATACTGAAAGTGGAGTGTACTCTGTGAACCCAGACGGTAAAGGAGCCTTCCTTGTTTACTGTGACATGCGCACTGATGGTGGAGGATGGACCGTGTTCCAGAGAAGACAAGATGGCTCGGTGGACTTCTTTCGCGGCTGGAACGATTACAAATCAGGCTTTGGTCAGCTGACGGCTGAGTTCTGGTTAGGAAACGATAAGATCCACAGGCTGACGGTCTCTAGACCAAGATCTTTGCGGGTGGAACTGGGTGACTGGAAAGGAGCAAAAGCATATGCCAAATATGGCAAGTGTTACATTGGTGATGAGCAGGCGAAGTATCGACTTGAAGTGGGCTCGTATTCAGGAACGGCGGGAGATTCGTTAGCATTGCATAATAACGAGGCTTTTAGCACTAAAGATAGAGATAACGACAAATGGGGTAGTATACACTGTGCTGTATCATTCATTGGTGCCTGGTGGTACAGCTGTTGCCACAATTCCAATCTAAATGGAAAATACCTGGGAAACACTAGGTGGAATTATACTGGAGTCATTTGGGAGGACTTCAGAAGCGGCGTTTCACTAAACTTCACGGAAATGAAGTTGAGGCCGTCATCATAAGACGAAAAGATCCTGTTTGATAAAGAACTCTTTCATTGAGATAGATTTCAATCATATCAGAGCTGTCGCTCTTGAAATGTTGCGATTTGAAAGGAATGAGTAAAAAGGACATACGTTATGTCCAAACGGACAAACCAGAAAAGTCGAGGGACGTACATTATCTTGATTTTTAATTCTTTTAACTACTGTACAAATCTTCGGCTGCAAAATTATTGTCTTTGCTCTTCAAGTCATTTTGTCCGACTGCAGGTGAAGGCTTTCTCCGGAAATGCGCAAATTTAAAACATCTCGTCTTATGACCGACTGTTATTAGCAGTCTTAGCAGCTCTGTTGTGTAAATGACTTTCACATGCACGCAGTTCCCGACAAATTTTCTAACCTGAAGGCAATTCCTCATCCATTTACACCAGCGACAAAGCTTCAGTTACTTTTCCCTCGATCTTTTACTACACGAGTAAGCTGAACTGATACGTTTGTGTAAGTCTTTTAATTATTGATTTTAAGATTCCCCCTCTGATTTAGACAGAAAAAATACACCGATGGAACGCGAGAAAATCGTGCTCTAACCTCAAACTTTTTAGCTGATTAACGTAACTCTGTAGAATAAAAAAGACTGTAGGGAAATGAATAAAGCTACTTTTGAAAGAAGCCATTTTTAAAGGGAATAAAGATTTACAGATTTTAATGTTTTTACGCTGTTTACATACTGTTTACATTGGAATTTTAATTTGTATAAGTACCTTACGGAACAATGTCAGAAATAAAGATAACAAGAAATTAAGGAATTAAGATGTGGCCAGTCACCAAAGTAGCTAATACTTCCTAGTTGGTCCAATAGTTGGTCAATGATCTTTTTAATTTAACATTTATTTTGTACCCTATGAGACTCTAGGATACCTTTTAGTAATATAAAGTTTCTGTTTTTTGTGTAAGGTAAAATCAGGTACGGAACTAAAGCCTCCGTGTTTAATCCAAGGTCTTGAGATGACTCAGCATATATTAATGATCCTATTGCCTATATCATGTGCAAAGCATGCCAGCCTTAGAGAAACTGTAACTGTTCTGGAGGAATAATTTTCCAAGTCCTAAATTAATGATTTCAAATACAGACGAGAAAACAAAAAATCGAAAACGATGCGCCCCTCTGCCATCTAATCTACAGGTTCAGGGAGATAATGTTCACGCTTCCCTCTTAACTATACTCCCTCGTCGAGGCTTAATTAGTTGGTATCTTGCAGAAATCAACAAGGGGTTGTTTACAATTTTAGGCGGGAAAGAATTGCTCCGCTGTTTCGGCTGCTTTTGGAAAAGAAAGGCGAGCACTCACAGTCCTCTCATGAAAAATATAACAAACCAGAATAAGGCTTTTTCTAACCAGGGGCTGGGCTCACAATACTTTCAGCATTTAAATCCCGAGAGGTCGGTAGATGTTAGTGGACTCGGGGAGTATTGCAATACAACACACGTACTAAATGTATTACTTGCTGTTTCTATTAGATCACTGGCAATATAGGATTTAAAAAGCATGACATGTACACTTCCTGCAACAGCAAGAGAGAATATCCTCGCTCTTTTGCTGAACGTAAACGTAAACAGTAAAATGTTGACTTTTTTCAGTTTTTCATTAACAAGTCGGAACGTGCATGGATTGAAGCAGAAAACCGTTGTGATAAGATTAGAGTTTCAAAGAATTTTCAATAGCAATGAACATAAAGCCTACCCGCCAGCCCCTCCCATAAAAAAATCCCAACAGTTTACCCTAAGTAAGAAGTTAGTGTTGACATTTAGTTAGAGGGAAGGGGTAGCTGGGTAGAATCTAATACTGATCCACTTAAGATACGCCGAAACGGATATGAACTTTTGCCTCCTTAGAAAAGGGAAGTGAAAATAATATCCTTGAATAACGCGTAAGTCCCTATTTTTGACCAAAGTTAAGTATATATCATGTAACAGGTTCACGTACTAGACCGCCGAAACGATATTGAAACTCGTCAATTCGAAAGGACGACTCCAAAAACAATGCTTTCCTTCTCTTGCTTCCGCCATATCTGTTTTAAATACTGTTTTGTACTGCGTTGGGTTTTTAAGAGTTGAATTAGACTTGCACAATCAAAAGAAGAGGTCAAACGCGCTTGAAAACGTGGCGAAGAGCATTAATCCCCAATCCAGCGATTAAATCTTCAAATTTCAACGCTCGCGGTATGAATGTTTTCTCATTTTATGCACGGATTTTAGAATTTCATGCGGTCTAAAGGTTTTCGTTTTTGTTTTTAGTTTTTCCCAACCTTTCTTGAAGTACATTCATATGCATATGAAGGACTGAGGAATCGCTGTATGTTATCTTATGGCAAACAACACAAAAAGGTTAAGGGGATTAAGTCTTCTCGTTTATACATACATCCATACGTATCCAGGCGCGGATCTAGGATAAATGCAACGAGCGCCGAAAACGCAAGCTTCTTGGGGTCCAGGGGCACGTTCCCCCAGTAAATGTTTTAGATTTTAACTCCCTAAAGTCTCCTTTCTTGGGGTTCCGTGTCACTCAGATAGGATATTGGCCAGTTAAAGCCTTGCAACTTGGAAAGTTTTTTGTTTATCAAAAATATATCTATTTAAGAAAAATCTGACCGATTTCCGTGAAACGGTAGAAACCGGTGTGGATCCGCGCCTGGTATCGAAGCCTTCTTTTCATACAAGAGTTATATTTTCCAAAGAAAGGAAAGAAATGAGATTTTTTCCGCGAACCTGACGTTTGACTCACGTCATATAATCAAGTTCTTCCGTTTCTTGATGTGACTGAGTTTAAAGGGTTGTGGTAGCCGGTAAGCCCCACACTTCAATGTAAGAAGCGGAAGACAGAGCTTTTAAAATAAAACTGCAAGGAAAGCATTTGCATTCAAGACTACAGTATTAGATTTCTTTTTTAATAAAACGCTACAAGATCATTATCAGAGTCGACTCATCATTAGTGACTCCAAAAAATGGAACCAGTAGAAGGTCTTGGCTAAGCAGGGATTGGGCTCACAATACTAATATTAGCACTGAAGCACACGTACCAACTTTGCGGTATTGGCCAATTCCTTACTCTTGCCCACAATCATATATCACCCCGGCAGTGGCAGCCGAATGAACAGCTGTTTCGCCGCCCTTATTGGGGCTCATTAGAATGGCATAGCCGTCGTGTCAACTGGCGAGCCAGTGTGTCAAATTCTCTACCGCCGACGTTTGCACTTCCTTAAACGCCAGCTCCACCGTACACAAACTGTTGGTTGGGACAGCAAAACAGTTTGGACTTACAATGTTCTCTCAAAGGTTACTTCAGTTCAGTAGACTGAGACGTTTTGCAATACAATACAAGTACTAAATATATTACCTGCTGTCAGTAATAATAACACTGTCGGTATGTCACTTCCTGAAACAGCATAAGCGAGGATATCCCCTTTTGTTGATAGTATTGATCTTTTCTGCCAAACATATGCCAAGAAAGATAAGATTTTTGAACTTTGCCATCTTATAATATAAGAAGGGATTGAAAATGATCAAAACCGCACCAGGATCAAGTAACAAGCTCACGCACCAAGTCTTCAGATAAACAAGGCTTGTTTAATGAGGTTGTTACGCATGAAAATGACATCGGCTCAAAATCAACGCTTTCCGTCTTTTTCTACTACCATCTCTGCATTAGGTATTGTTTTGTATTGCGCTGGATTTTTAAGAGTTGAACTAGAGATGAATAATCAGAAGAAGAGGTTAGATGCCCTTGAAATCGTCGCGAGGACAAAACAACCATTCAGCGAGCCACATCACAGTATCGTCAAGTTCATCAAGGATGCTCCCGGTATGTACTTTTCACCTTGTCTAAAGGCAGTTTAAAAAAATCATGTATTCTGAAATCTTTTGTCTTATCCTAAAAAGAATACTCATGTTTACGAAAGTTTGTTCAATGAGCCTTATTTTTAAACACGAGCGAAAACGTGATTAAGTCAATTCGTGAAAGAATTAACCTTTGCGTGTTTTCAACTTAACTGCGTGGTAAAAAAAAGCATTAAAGGCCATTCCGACTTGGTTTACTACTTCTTTTCCTCACACAGGCGGTATGAATGACTCTTCCATGCACAAATACTCTTACATGATAAAAATAGAAAAGTAATATTTCATGATGAAACTTAAAAGAAATAGTTTCAGTTTTCCGAAGAAGACTAAGAATTAAAATTACCCCAAGGGCATTGTTTAAGGGGCGGACCATTTAACTCTTGAGAGAGGGGGAGGGTGGCTGATTTCTGGTCATCAAGAATTTTTTTTTTCTAGCAATCTGATGGGCAGGATATTTTGTTCCCATTTTTTCCCATAAGCTTTCTATTACATTTGTGCTGCATGCAATTTTTTTCTTCCGACAAGCGCTTTCAGGAATTTTTTTTTCAAAATCACCCACCCCACCGCCCCCCTCAAGAGTTAAATGGTCAGCCCCTAAGATAATAATTTTACAAGTCTTACAAAAGCTTGATGCGTTTTGCTTGGATTTAGGTCATTAAAACTCAAACCAAAATAGCGTCTTAATCACTGAACTGGAATAAAATGACATGAATTAGGAAATTTTATCTAACCATTGTGAATAAAGAAAAAATACCAATGAACCCTCAGCTAAGAAGACGGAGTCGTGAAATTTGCGGTTATCGGTTTCCTTATGATTAAAGCTTGTTGGAAGGAACCTCTGGAAGGAACCATTAATCAGGGCGTGAATGGGGTAAGCCGAGTAGCGACAAAGAGCGAAAAGTATTACTGACTACCGGCAAAACGGTAAATGACTTGTCCATCGGATAGTCCAACGGAAAGAACTTCCTCCTTTGTTGTTACGTTTATACAGCAACTGAATTTTAACCGACAACCGACAAGTGGACCCCCCACCCCCACCCCCCATTTAGACCCTCTTAATCGAACTGACAATTCCTTATTCTTATCGACAGATTTTTTCCCCAATGAACATTATCGAAGCAAGCGACATGCAAATTCAGCTAATAATACGAGGGAAACGAAAACAACAGCCGCCTTGATTAAAGAAATTCACAATATTTTATCAGAGGGGAGGATCCGCCTTTGCAAATCAACAAATGAGGCGTGTCAGTCAGGTCCACCCGGACCGAAGGGAGACCGAGGACGAAAAGGGAAGAGAGGATCACGTGGAAGCAAGGGAGACAGAGGTATTATGGGATCACAGGGGAAAAGTGGGCCCGTGGGACCAAAAGGTGATGCTGGAATAAAGGGGAAAAAAGGGGACACAGGGATCGCTGGCATACCGGGAGCCAAAGGAGATAGAGGCACTACGGGACCACCAGGAAAGAGTGGCAAACAAGGTATCATGGGACCTGTAGGGCCAAAAGGTGTTCCTGGACTCAAAGGACGAAAGGGAGATAAAGGGATCGCTGGCATGCCGGGAGCCAAAGGAGAGAGAGGTATGATAGGATCACCAGGAAAAATCGGCAAACAAGGTATCATGGGACCTGTAGGGCCAAAAGGTGTTCCTGGACTCAAAGGGCAAAAAGGAGACACAGGATCCGCGGGCATGCCTGGAGCCAAAGGAGAGCCTGGTCAACTTAGTGAGTGACAATATAAGACTATCAATATCGACTTCCCTCTTTTTTCAACCATGAATCTTCTTTTTCGATACCACTTTTTTTGCCAGAAAATTTTTGCGGCCATTTTTGACCAAAATTTCCACAGGTCCCATGATACCTTGTTTGCCACTTTTTCCTGGTGATCCTATCATACCTCGATCTCCTTTGGCTCCCAGCATGCCAGCGATCCCTTTATCTCCTTTTCGCCCTTTGAGTCCAGGAACACCTTTGGGCCCTACAGGTCCCATGATGCCTTGTTAATCTTCATAAATCAGAAAGCGTTGATTAAAACTGACTTCTGCTGACTATCCGTATTGTTTAATTCGTGAAAAGACTTTGATGGCTTCCCTAACCCTTTCACAAGGTCCCTGGAAGAAAAGCATTTGAATTAAGTCTCAGCTATGGATCATTATTGGTAAACAGCTTTTCAAAACTTAGAGGAAAACGCGTCTTCGTGGTCTGGAGTGGTACTTAATTTGCTACTTGAGCTTTCTGAAATACTCTGAAACATTGCCGTAACACGCGCCTAAGTCAACAACAACAGTTAGAAATAATGGCGGAACGCCACAATCTACTTCTACAAACAAATTGCACTTTTATGGTCCCTTAAGACTCAAACAAGCACTCACATACTTTTCTAGACAGATAGCTAGGTTAATTTTTTCTCTTTCGTTCTAAAAAGAAAAAGTTTTCCCCGAGCCGTGTCATTTCAACCTGAATGTTGCTAGTAATAACCATTGCTTATTGTGGATAATCAGTACTGATTCTAGCTGAGAAAAACTTAGAATGCCAAGAAACAGTCAGTGTTACCATAACTAATAATTATCATTATTGATATATTATATTATTATTATTAATGTCAGAAACGGATAATTTTCTTTGTCATGACTTGATTTAAGACAGTGGACTGCCTGCAATAGTTATTGATCGCATCTGATCCGCAAGGAATGTATTTGGGAAATCGTTATTGACACAGTGATTGTATTTTTATGATTTATATATATAATTCTTATTTCTGTAAATTATGTACATATTTTTAAAGTTTAATTAAATTTGTTGTTTATTTATTACTATTATTATAATTATTGTTATTATTATTGTTATATTATTATTATTATTATTATTATTGATATCATTATTATCAATATTATCATTATTGTCATTATTATTCCTACAGAACATTTCCGATCGGAGAAACTGCATAATTTTTCATATCATACGACAGCCGATTTCAATATATAGTTGTTTTATCGGTTATTCATTCAAAATATTTAAAAATTTCTAAGCCCTTAACATCCCTACCTCCTCTTAGACTTTCTTCAAAACATTTGCCTGTCTCTCAATCTCACAGTTTCAGAATATGAACACATATCTTTTTCCCTGCAGATACTCCTCAAAAGCTGACGGCTGAAAGCTGAAAGCGTATTTTTGCATTTATTTTTGCCTTTACTCATTTACCCTAATTCGGCTATTTTATCTTCGGACATCCGTAAGCTCTTTAGCTATTTTCGGTTTGAGTTCCAGTGCGCCGCTGCCTTGCGTTGAAACGAGGTCGCGATTGTATATTGGTAGCCATATACCATCGTATCGACTGTATATTGCCACATCTTCCCAATTGATCAGCACCAGCTGGCTATGAACAATTGCTCAAGAATTAAAGCCAATTAGAAAATTAACGATGAAATATTTTGAATAAATAATAAGAAGAATTATGCTCAACTGCATAAATTCACCCTTCTTTTAGCTTTGAACGGCTTGTTGCAGTTTGTTGCCTGTTATCTTAGGACGGGTGGGTATAAATACTGAAGGAAACAATTAAAAATTCTCCTGAATATGAATATTTTGAGTATATTTTTATATATACTCATTTGGCTTGTCACAAATCCTATGGTTCGGGGAAACCTAGCTAGTCTTTTTCTCTCGCAAACGTTGATCAAATTTTTAATGCTGCCGGTCTTTGGTGTTATTAATTAAGGCTCGCTCTGTATTGCAACTGAAAGCTGTTTGGGTATATCAGAAGCTTCTCCATGCGAAGGAGCATTGTTATTCACTCTATTTTGTTGAAGCTTAGGTATTAATCTTTATATTTTTCTTTTTAAACAAAACTACCCATCGTGACTCTCTCCCAATAATCGCCTCCCACGAGACACTTTAATAGCTTCATGCTTTCCATCGGGAGGGTGCATAGATTACTCCTGGTGACGGTGTCTTTTCCTGTGAAAACTCTTTAGCTTATGGAACGTGTATTCATACTTTCAGATTCAGATTGTTTATCGCTGTTAAAATCAGGCCATACTCAGAGTCGAGCGTATTCTGTAGACCCAGACGGTAAAGGATCCTTCCAAGTATACTGTGACATGCAAACTGATGGTGGAGGATGGACTGTGTTTCAGAGAAGACAGGATGGCTCGGTGGATTTCTATCGGGGATGGAACGATTACAAATCAGGCTTTGGTCAGCTGACGGCTGAGTTCTGGTTAGGAAACGACAAGATCCACAGGCTGACGGTCGCTAGACCCAGTTCTTTACGAGTAGAGCTAGAGGACTGGAGCGGAGTAAGAGTGTACGCCAAATATGGCACGTTTAACATTAGTGATGAGCAGGCGAAGTATCGACTCAAAGTGGGCTCATATTCAGGGACGGCGGGAGATTCTTTAGGTCCTGGTGGTTATGATCTTAATAACATGGCATTTACAACAAAAGACCGAGATAATGACAGAAACAGTTATGGTAACTGTGCTGTATCCTGGACTGGTGCCTGGTGGTACAGGAATTGCCACGGCTCCAATCTAAACGGAAAGTACCTAGGACAAAAATATGATAATCGAGGTCTCAGATGGAATAGATTTAGAAGAGATCTCTCTCTCAAATTTGCTGAAATGAAGCTTAGGCCGTCATCTTAG